CATTTGTGTTACTGCAGTATGAGATTCTGCAACAGCTGGCAGTAGCTGGTTGTATTTTCCCAAGAGGTGTTCTTGTGGAAATAAAGATATCACTCTGTGAAGTATTTAAGATGTTCACAGTTGATGTCCCAGAACTCGCATCTATGAATCCCGTTATCAGTTGAACATTTCCAGGTAGAGCTGTATCTAATGGTTCTACTACACCATTCCCTCTGAAACTTCCTGTAGTGACTTTCACGTCAGTAGTTGATGAAGCTGGTATTAAAACCTTTTGATTTCCCTGTATTCGAATAAGATTTGTCTTTTCTTCCACTTGTGTTTCCTTGAATTTTGGTAGGTTTTTCAAAATATTCATTCCAATAAGAAGATCAGGGCAGTTTCCATCCTCTGCGTGAACAAGGATTCCAATGTCTCTCATTTGTTGTCCCTCAATCTCAACTGTCTCTATCATCAATCCTTGATATGGAATTTGTAGGTTATTTGCTGCTTTCAGGTCTAATACTTTGAAGTTTTCCAGTTCAGTATTGAATTTGTTTTGGTATAACTGTTTTGACATCAGTGTTACACTGCTTCCTGTATCTATGACTCCTTGGATTATTTGGTTTCCAATTGTTATCATGGTTTTTGGGGCAGTTCCTAATATTTTGTCCATCTGGAAGTTATTTGGGTTGTTCTCACTTGAGGATGTGATAACAGAATTGTTGGTGTTGGTTCCATTGTTATCATGATTGTTGTGGAAATTAGGTTGTTGATTTTCTTGTTGTCTATTCCTGTTGTTGAAATCTCCACGCTGTCCTTGATTGCTATATCTTGATCCGAAGAATCGTCTTCCTCTTCTCTGGTTGAAATTTCCTCTGTTGTTATTGAAGTTGTTGAATTCTCTGTTGTTAAAGTTTCCTCTGTTATTGAAGTTTCCTTGGTTGTTGTAGTTATCATGTTTGTAGTTTTGTTGACCAAAGTGTGTATTTTGTTGATTGTTCTGGAATTCACGGTGTTGTTTGTTTTCCTCTTTCAGAGTGTTGATTTCTTGTTCAAGTTTGTTCTGTTTCTCCAACATCTGTTGCATCATCTTCTGTAACGTCTTATCATTGGTGTCTATGGTGTTTGATGTGACGGTTGATTTCTTTGTATTCTCCATCGATTTTGAATCATTCTCATTGAATTCATACTGGAAAGCGACATCTCTTAACTTCTGGAATGTTGTTGTACTGTCTTGGTTATTTAGTCTCCTTAGTTCCCATCTGAGTTTAGGACATTGAACACCTTCAATCAGCTGTTCTTTAAGTAACTGGTCCTCATTCTGTAGATTACTTTGTGTTTCTTTAATTCTGTCCATGCATTGCATCAGAGATTGTGTGAACTGTGCTACGGATTCAGTTGCGTCTTGTTTCCTTGTGTAGAATTCAGTGTAGCTTTTGTGTGCTGAGGTTTGACGTCCAAAAACTCTCTTAAGTGTTTTGAAGATTTCATCTGGTGTTGTATTTGGGCCTAAGTATTTAGCTTCTCTCCGTGGTATTGGGTCAAGGTGATAAATTAAGAAGTCCACTCGGTCCCTCTCACGTATGTTCCTGATTGCAATATTCGCATCCTCGCACCAATCATAGATGTCTTGTCCCTTTGATCCATTGTATTTACACAGTTTTGGAAGTTTTGAGTTTCCTTGAAGACCTTTGTTTCTTGGTTCATTGTTGTCATTGTCTCGTCCAGTGTTGCTGTTATCACTGTCAGCTTCAGGTGGGTTGCCTAACAAATCGACATTGTATTTCTTTTGAAGTTCAGCTAGTTGTCTTTCCAGAGATATCATCTGTAGTAATCCAGCTTTCTCCTCCTTTTGTTCTTGTTCTAAGATTTCAGCCATTTCATCAATTTTCTTTTTCGCATCCTCTCCTATCGCATCCTTGGGTTTTGTTCCGCCAGTAGCCATTACGGTTTAAAAATATTTTATTTCGCGTATGTAATCGCGTAATTAATTGTGTAAGTAATGACGTAAGTATAAAAAGCGTAGTGATTTGCGAATCGGCGCGTAAAATGTGAACCAACACACTTAAAACTGGTGAAAAAGTTATCACATTATAACATCCGAGCGTGCGATAAAAATATGTGATATTTTGTCAGGGATACTAAACAATTCACATCACACACTAAACAATATATACACTTTATAGAATATTTTATAAACTCTGAGGTACTCTCTTAAAGTATAAGCTCTGGTTATAAATGAATGTTAAGGATATAAGACATCAAATATGGCAAGGCTATCAGAAAAATGTCCAGGCTACTAAACAAAATGATACTCATTTGCAAAAATGATTGTCCTGTGTACTACAATACTATTGGATAAATCATATGAACCTGGTACTAGATAAAATGTATGTCCTGGTTTACTTTAGGTTCAGTGGAATTTGTAAAGACAAAATATAAAATATATGTCCAGGCTACTAATCAAAAATATAAATGTACACTGACAATGGTATAGAACAAATATGTGGGCTGGGCAACAAGCAAAATATGTGCTTTGAGAACTAAACAAATTATTTGTCCATGATACTGACCCTAAATTTTAATCATGTTCATGGCTAAATCACCTGATGCATAATTGCATGTATATATTGAACTGTGTGAGTCAACTTTTGCTTTCACTCACAAAATACTATTAATTGTCACCTGATATTGACTGGCTATTCAAAATATTGAGCTATAAATAGCTGATTTATGGTTTTATATGAGATTTCATTTGTTTACATTTGTCACTAATTGAATTTCTCACATAGATTGTTCCAGTTGTATTTCTGTATGTTCCTGTTGAAATTCAAATATTCTAGTTGAAATTCAAATGTTCTTGTTGAAATTCAAATGTTCTTGTTGAAATTCAAATGTTCTTATGAATTGTTGTTGATTATTGTCACAATGTGGTAATGGACTGCATTTACACTTTTGTTGTTCATCTTTGTAGAACCAGTGTCCATTGGATGTCTCAATCGTATCGTACCACTTACTTGATTTACTCGACTTCCATCAGTAGCATATATGTGGATTTGGTCAAAAAAATTCTACCTATCAATAACACTATCCTAACAAAATCTTAACATGAAATGTAACACCCGCAGTACCAAATGTAACCATGGGGGAGTGGACGTGGGTTACATTACAAATCAAATTAACAGAATAAGAATATAAAATGTATTTAAAATGTATTCAACCCTATAATCAATCAAATGATCAAAATGTTATACAAATGAGCTAAATCTCTCAACTGATCTTAATACTCAAGCTACCTAAATCACTAACTGATCTTGTACTCAAGCTACCTAAATCACTAACTGATCTTGTATTCAAGCTACCTAAATCACTTAAGACCAAAACCACAAATGCTTAAGGCTGTGCACCTAGTTTGTACCCCAGAGCTGCAAATAAAAGTAATGTACAAATAGCTGTTTGTAAAGCAGGTAAAATACAATAATGAAACATACAGTTTTATGATAAACTTCTTAGTACTAAGGGCTATGGGACTTAAAGGGCCCTTATTCTGTTCCCAAGAAAACCCTTATACTGTGCTTGACGCACTACATACATTTCTCTATTGAAATTACCAAATATAAATATAATTCAGTTACTTTATGCAAAATGTACCATGAAGGTTTACAATTGAGCAATATAAAATAAAATGTGGAATGTACCTTATAAAATAAGCTATACAGTCTCTGAGTGCTAGCCATACATCTTTAGTACGCACACAGTGTCTCCTGTAAAACGTGTGTACCAAGATAAGTCATGTGAAATGACATAAATGGTGGTTTTAATTGTAAATGAATAACGCACAGGTGCATGAAATGAACATCACCTTATGGACAAATGTTCCAACACATTGTTCAAGTTTTACAAATAAATTACTCAAAAGTATTTGAAATACAAAATAATATTTACATCAAATTGGAGCTAAAGTTATGGAGAATAAAATTAATACAATTGGCATAATGTTGGCATATTCTAAAGGGTAAAAAGTGACAAAAATATATGAAAATTTCTTACCATGTCTTTACAGTTCAAAATCAAGGCTAGCACTGGTGATTTGGAAAGTAAATGCAATCAAGGTTAATCCCCTTGCATGTGCACACTGTGTGTAAATCAAAGCTATTCTCTTAGCAGGGTTTGAAAATATAATTGAAATACATAAAAATATAACTCTCCACAGTAGGGTTTGAAAATCTAAAACATCCTGTCACAACAGCATAAAGTTATTTTACTTTGATCCAAAACAGTGTCTTTCTCACTGAACAAATATTATCTAATTTAGACATTTCAGCTTTCGTTCAGAGAAAAAATCAATTGATTTGAATCAACATATTAAAGATTAACATACAACAAAAACTTGGCTAATCCGAACGCTACTGGGACTGGCCAAGAGTTTTAGGATAAACAGGTGTTCACATTTCACAAGATTTTTATGTCACCACTTTTGGGTCACCACCAAAAGAGATGATATATTGTTATAGTCTCAAACTTTTTTGTGGAAGGTGTTTAGCATTCAGCAGTTGGTGGTTGGTGTTTGGCACTCAGTGGTTAATGTTCGGCAATTGGTGTCTGTAACAAATGGCATGTGGTGACATTTTGTATGCTAAAGCTTTGTTTAGATATTAAGGAGGATTGGCTCCAAGAGTGCAACATCGATATTCTGTCCCATATATGGGCATGTCATGATACAGAATTCGAATTCAAATGGCTGCCATTTTGTTCACTTTAACATGAATTTTGGTCTTATTTCCCAACGAAAAATTCCAAAACTCACAAGAAATGATCGAGATATTGGTTCGAATCTTTTGAACTGTTTATTTTGAATTTATAGTCAGTTATAATTTCACAAAATAACAACATTTCGACGTTTTCATTGTTGGATAATATCGAGTTTTGATCCTGGGCAAGCCAATCCTCCTTGTTAAGATATTATGAATTAGTCAGCTGTTCGAAAATAACAGGTTTAACTGTATTTTGCTTTTTTCCAGCATGGGGTAGAGAAGCAATGTGTTCGATTAAACTTTGGAGTACTAGATTGGAATGTCAAATCTATAGATTTCTACAAGTCTAAGGGAGCTGTAGATTTAACAGAAAGTGAAGGGTGGAACAGCTTCAGACTGACTAAAGAGGCACTGGAATCCTTTGCTGCTTCATGAATTGAAAAATGATATGGACTTAAAGTAGTTTCAGCATGATTTATCAGGAATTAAAAATGTAATTATGGGACAATATCACTTCATGAAAATGATATGGACTTAAAGTAGTTTCAGCATGATTTATCAGGAATTAAAAATGTAATTATGGGACAATATCACTTCATGAAAATGATATGGACTAAAAGTAGTTTCAAGATGATTTATCAGGAATTGAAAATGTAATTATGGGACAATATCACTTCATGAAAATGATATGGACTAAAAGTAGTTTCAAGATGATTTATCAGGAATTGAAAATGTAATTATGGGACAATATCACTTCATGAAAATGATATGGACTAAACGTAGTTTCAAGATGATTTATCAGGAATTGAAAATGTAATTAGGGAACAATATCACTTCGTGAAAATGATATAGACTAAAAGTATAGTTTCAACATGATTTATCAGGAAATTAAAAATGTAATTACGGGACAATATCACTTCATGAAAATGATATAGACTAAAAGTATAGTTTCAACATGATTTATCAGGAATTGAAAATGTAATTAGGAGACAATATCACTTCATGACAATGATATAGACTAAAAGTAGTTTCAAGATGATTTATCAGGAATTGAAAATGTAATTAGGGGACAATATCACTTCATGAAAATGATATGGACTAAAAGTAGTTTCAAGATGATTTATCAGGAATTGAAAATGTAATTAGGGGACAATATCACTTCATGAAAATGATATAGACTAAAAGTAGTTTCAAGATGATTTATCAGGAATTAAAAATGTAATTTGGGGACAATATCACTTCATGAAAATGATATATAGTTTCAAGATGATTTATCAGGAATTGAAAATGTAATTAGGGGACAATATCACTTCATGAAAATGATAAAGACTAAAAGTAGTTTCAAGATGATTTATCAGGAATTGAAAATGTAATTAGGGGACAATATCACTTCATGAAAATGATAAAGACTAAAAGTAGTTTCAAGATGATTTATCAGGAAACAATATTTTATTAGGAAACAATATTTTTGAGAAATATAATTCAAATTCCTTGAGTAAATGCCAATAGCTCATATTTATGATACTGGGTGGGCAAAAAGTAGGTTTAAAATTATTCAACAATCTCCTTCTGTAAACTGTAAACCTATTGTTGCATCAATATGTTGTTTTTGAGACACAGTTACCCCTTTTAAAGGAATCAGTAATTCCTGTTAGATAAAGTTGAAAAAAATATTATCTGTGGTATTTTCCCATATGGAAAACTCATGCGACCAATCGCTTTCAGCTTAATTTTGGACACCTATGATGGATGTCTTTACGACCCTTGAAGGAATTACTTGTTCCTTTAAGGGGGTTATCTATGTAACAAAATGCAACATTTTGATGCAACAAAAAGAAAATGTAGGGTCGGAAGGAGTTAAAAATCAGGATATTTCAGAAAAAAACATGTTGGTGGGTTGTTTTCATCTTTCCTATCTCAAAGCCTAAATTATTTTATCATCTCTATGGGTGCTTTTCCTCGAGGTAATGCATTGGCCTTACATATGCACCTGTCTAAATCCTCAGAAAAAGTCAAAATCCAACATTCTGTTGCGCAAAAAAACATAAAACATTCTGTTGCGATACATTCCATCCTCCTTTGGAAAGTTGAACATCTCTAGATACCAGAAGTGGAGCACGTCTATTTGTAGACCACTTTTCAAAGCTCCAAGACCAACAGATTTAAAGTTAAATGAAATTCTATAAGTTAAACACCTCCCAAGTGGAACACTTTTAGAGTTACCAAATATGTTCCACTTAAACAGGTTTTATTGGTTCTGTACATCATATTTAATTAAATATATTGAGAAGTACTATTAAAAATCAGAAATTGCAATTAAAAGACAAATAACTGTCGTTGCAAACTATAAAATAAATGTTTCCATTAGCTCATGAAGGAGTAGGGGTCCGCGCATTGTACCGAAACCCATTATACCGACGCACACTATACCGACGCGCATTGAACCGAAGCGCATTGTACCGACGCGCATTATACCGAACTAACAAGGATTAGTTCGAAAGTTGTTTAGTCACTGGAATTGTACGTCGATAGTACATTCGAACGTTTGTTCACTTTTCCTCGGTACGGTTTTCCATTCGTTCAGTATGTTTGTTCGTACGCACCGTTCTTAAGGTCGTTTTGACGCTACAGGGTGATCACTAAGTTCTGGGAATTTATCTGTCATTTCATTATTTTTGAACGAATTTCCTTAAATTTTCAAGGTAAATGGGGAATGTTATTTTGGGTTGGATAAAACAAGTCTCATTGTCAAATGATATCAGAATGGATAATTATTGTTACTAAAGCAACATTACAAATGGCATAGCGGGTTAAGCAAAATTTGAATTCATTATTATTTTACTCGATCCAAAAATATGGTTAATTAATATCTATTTTGAAGACATATTTCTGTGATTTTTTTATGTTTTCAAATATTTTGAACTTTAGTTTCTAAAGTAACATCTGTGTTGTGATATAAGAGTGTAATTTGCTCTATTTTCTCATCATTTGTCAGACTCTCAAAGTCAAAATCATGACTCAAAATAGCGGAGAGTTATCTTCCATTATGACTATGCTCCTTCCCACTCTTCAAACTGCCCATACTACTCTTGAAGAATTGGGGTTCACACAAGCTGTTAATGCCCCATATTAACCATATAATATTCACTGCAGTCAGCATCATTGGGCTTCACGACATTTGGGTGTTGAAGCATCATATATAAGAAGTCATAAGTTTGATTCTGATATGGGACTGATTTCAAGAGCTTGAGCAAATCTTAAGGATACCAAAGGGACGACAGGGACGACTATAAGCGTAATCATAGACTTTATGTCAACAACGTATGTGCGTCCAGGCTAAAGGAACATTATAAATGAAATGATTCTCTTAGCAATGAAGAATAGTTCTAAATAAATGACTTCAAGAGTGCTGTAATGCCTCTAGTACAAGAAGTTTGAAGCAACCATCCAGGCTAGATAAATATGTTTTGCAGGAAACTGTAAGATTAACATCAGTCAAAATTTGGTGACCCGCAGACACTTTTACTTTTTTATGTCCCCACCACATAGTGTGGGGCCATATTGTCGGCATCCGTCTGTTTGTCTGTCTGTCTGTCTGTCCGTCCGTCCGTCCGTCCGTCCGTCCGTCCGTCCGTCCGTCCGTCCGTCCGTCCGTCCGTCCGTCCGTCCGTCCGTCCGTCCGTCCGTCCGTCCGTCCGTCCGTCCGTCCGTCCGTCCGTCCGTCCGTCCGTCCGTCCGTCCGTCCGTCCGTCCGTCCGTCCGTCCGTCCGTCCGTCCGTCCGTCCGTCCGTCCGTCCGTCCGTCCGTCCGTCCGTCCGTCCGTCCGTCCGTCCGTCCGTCCGTCCGTCCGTCCGTCCGTCCGTCCGTCCGTCCGTCCGTCCGTCCGTCCGTCCGTCCGTCCGTCCGTCCGTCCGTCCGTCCGTCCGTCCGTCCGTCCGTCCGTCCGTCCGTCCGTCCGTCCGTCCGTCCGTCCGTCCGTCCGTCCGTCCGTCCGTCCGTCCGTCCGTCCGTCCGTCCGTCCGTCAGTACGTCCGTCAGTTTTCTCCAATACCACTACAGATATCACTTTCAAATTTTCAGGGATAACTTGTGAGTGCATACAGATGTGGAGGAAATTTTTTTAACTTGATACCTACTTCCCGTCGGCCATTTTGAGGTCAAATTTCAGTCTAAAATCCTTCTCTGCAAACTTTAAGAAAAACGGGGTTTGTGTAAAAAACCGGGTGACCGGGTGACCGGGTACTATTTTTTTTATTTATAACGTTTGATCTGGACGATACATGTACGTTATTTTCGACGTCACGTTTTGAGGTTATTTCACATCGTAATAACGTTTTGACAACGTTAAAATAACGTCGGTAATGAACCGATTTAGTGAGAACATATTGTCGTCTTTGTAACGTTTCCTTAACTCACAACTATTTTGAAGCCATTTCCACAATGTTGAAATTCAACCATCCATCGACGTTTTGCTGAATATTTAAATAACGTCAGATCAAAACGGATCATGGATGTCATTATTGACGTCACGTTTTGAGGTTATTTCAAATCAAAAAAAACTTTCGATAACGTTAAATTTTAACGTTAACAATACGTCGGAAATGAACCGACTTAGTGAGAACACAAAGTTTTTGTCATGTTTTTTTCCACCAACAAATATTTTGATATTAAAAGCCTGTTTTGACAACGTTGAATTTCAACGTTTGAGTTACGTCACATATGGACTAATGTAGTGAAAAATGAAACGTTCCCGTTTGTTATGTTTTCCACACTAACGAACTTTACGGACACGTTACAACAATGTTCTTTGTCCATCAATAGATGTCTCATGTTTACGTTGCCTCGAAGAACGAAAATGTGCAACGTCTTCTAGGAACTTATATGCTACTTATGAGCAACGTGACATGGACGTCACTGTTTGCTGGATCGATTATTTTAAAAAGTGCTCCGTCTCGTATAGGGTAAAAATATCGAACAGCAGTGCACTCGATAGGCTAAGTCAAGTCAATTCGCTACTATACATCGGGGGAAATATGGAACTTTGAAAGTTGGTAACCCTGCTAGGAACGTTAGGTACCCGGTTACCCGGTCACCCGTTTTTTTACACAAACCCAGAAAAACGGCTTCACGGTTGCTTTTAAAACTTTGACATCTTGTCCAGCTCACTTCATTCTACATCTGATTAGGTTTTGGACCTGTTAGCTCAGTCATGTCAGCCATTTTGAATGTCTTAAGAAAAGTTAGCGCGCGATAATACTCTGTATCATATTGAATGGTGTTTTTGAGTTATCATACTTTAACCGTTTAGTAGCTTTATAAATAATTTCAGGTAGACTTTGTTGTAAAAGCCTATGTTATTGTTAACATAATTAGATCATTAGAAAACGTGTAAGATTTGTTTTGAATTTACAAACATGTATGTAATTTCCTTCAAAATTGACTAGTTAGAAGCTTCAAATAATAAGCATTTTAATTTTAATTCTTCCTCTATCATCATGGTCATATTTCCATTGGTTATGGGGGGGGGGGGTGCGATCACACCATTGCACCCCTCCTGGCTACGCCTA